AAAAAAAACACGAAAAGCTACTAACAAATAACGTACCAAATGAACGACACCAGTTTCTGTCCAAGCAGAATATATATTTTTTTTTTGTTCAGGATATTTGTATGTCTACAAAAGTCAATCTAAAAAGATAATCTTATCTTCCCCAATCAACCTTGGAGGGGGATGTTTACGCTCTTCTCAAGAGTGAAGGGCCCTTCAGCTTTTCCATTCATGACGTTTAACACAGAAAATGAACATATCTACGTGTTCAGACACAACTTAGCTATACTATCAGACATAACACAAGTTGATAAAAACACAAGAGATTAAAGACTTCCGGTGGGCAATAAAAAAAATGACAGAATGGAAATGAGCAAATGAATAGATTCAAGCAAGCGCGAACCTTGAGTCATCGGAAATACTAATCGAATCATCTAGACTAGGATATTCTATCGATTCTAAACCACTGCTTAGATTTTATTTGAACAGTCAGCTGATCAAAAATGGATTCTTTAGATCCGGACTTATATTATACGACTTTGACAACACTGGACGTCGTTTGACGTCATAGGTCACCGGAGTCATACCAAATGACATACCCAGCGGAAAGTGCCACATACGTCACGAACGATTTTACTCCAAAACTACTTCAGAAATACGTGGCTTCGAGGAGGATTTGCGTTCAGGGATAGTTATAAATGAGAATTGATTTGGTTTGGTTTTGTAGGTAAGAAAAAAAGAGTTTTTCGTTGCTTCTAGATTTCGACGTAATCGCTTTTGTCAATACTCTAAGCTGTGGAAGATCTAGGGCTTATCTTACTTGCCTGATGGTCTAGTAGTTAATCAGTGATATGGCTGGCTGGCTAAGTTAATGTTGTTTGTATAATCTTAGTAAATTATTTTAGTTGTGTAATACAAATGGTCTATATTCACACACACCAGAAAGATTTCAGGCTGGTCGCCGTAGAGAAGGAGTATAACCCCTTTGCACGTATCTTCGCGCCGATGTCCTGATTCACGGGATTAATTCACGTCCTTGTTCGAAGCGTTGTGAATCACTCAGAGACGCGTAGAKAGTTCCATGACTCATCGAAGCATGTAACTACTTAACGGTGCAGTTTCTTCAAGCCATAAAAATATTGTCGCATTCAAATTATTTAATTGAATCGTATTTAACCGCAGAGAGCGTCAATGTTGTTTGGAGCGCGCTGAGGCGGATGAGAGCCACAGACTACAGGTATCATTTTTCTAAGCGAATATTTTCCATGACCTCATTGGCTAATGGAATGATCAGCTTTATTAATACATTTTACATCTCTGTCACTTACAGGATCGAAACAAGTTGGTCTTGGCTAATTTACAGATCGTATCCCGACGGACAGTCAGAGAAATTACCGTCGGATTACCGACTCAGGGAGCTCTAGTTTTGAACACCACTAACCATTAGCGTATTAAATACATTTTGATGGTCATCRAAAGACAAGAACAAGCAATATGTGGAAAAGAGGACAATACATTTTATGTTGTGTTTCATGGATCATCGTGGTGGAAATTCGAGCGGCTAGTTTGAGGAACCGCAAGAGCGCTTTTGAAAAAATTGAGCTGGTCAATTCTCGATATGGTAAGTCAAAAACCTCTTCTCTTCGTATCTAAGACTTTATGTTTGATTCAGATGGCGTAGCAAAAGGGGTTTTTGTAAAGTTAGTCTCCAAGGATGGTGTTAAACCGACTTGCAAGCCGTCATTTGGGTTCTACATTACGCTAAGTAAATATATCCCAGACATAAACTAACTCTGAGATGATAAATGTATCACAATAATAAGCTTTGTCTTCTCTGAATAAGTCACTCATCTCATTCATTCATAAAGTTTGACTATAGCAAGCGTGGTCTTATTTGGCAACCACTTGAAGAACTCTGAGCGAACTAGCATCTATAAATGCCTAGAAAACTCCATAAGCACAAAACGTGATAGTGAGTTTCAAGGCAAATAATACAGATAGTGCTCCATGTGACCCGCGCAACCCGCAACAACAATACTTCAGCCTATGGTTGCAGATCCTCTCGTCTTTCAATAGGTTGTCGGGTATCATGTGGTTCAATGATTAATCCTATCCATTATCTCAGGGAGTCTTTACTCCATGGCGTTAAATATAAATAGTTATAAAGTATCAGCTAGTTGGGTGACCACGAATACTCGCTGTCTTAACCAGTGCGTGTGGACGAATCTTTTGTTCAAAGTCCTTTGGTCAGTTTACTTTTGGTAGAACAATGTTGAGCATTCAGTGCGGTCTTTAATTTTTTTTTCGAAATTTTTGAGGCTTTTTACGCGCCTGCATTTGTCCGAATAACCGCTGGCACATTGTAGTCTAGACTCATGATTTGCGTGTTTGTCGATAAGTATTACTTCGGCAGTTTTTAGAGCTGATTGCTTTAAAAGAGCGTCTCTTACCTAGTTCGCGAGCTTTTGACGAATTATCAATTATCTAAATGAATTTTTCTATAGGAACCATTGTTCGAGAGTAGAAAATTTGTAAAGCGCAAGACATCGATCCGATCCGTCCCAAGTTTTTCCATCAATCAAAACGCGCGTAGTATATTAACTAACGGTAGAATATTCCATTTTTTTATCAAAAGAGTTTTAATGCGCTTCGGCGCAGAACAGTTTTCTCGGGCAGCGGCCTTGGGAGAGGTTGCGCGAGTTCGGGACTATTAGAGAGTTTTAGATTGACTTTTTTATCTCCCCGCAAACGGCAAACGTGACCACGTTTTCATAGTTTTCCTTTATTTTMCTTTACCTTTTACAAACCTTCTCACCAAGCGCAAATACTCTTTTGTTTTTCTACTACTTGGACTTTTTTTCGATTCTTTTTCAGTCATTTAAAATATTTTTTTACTGGTCAACTGACGTTTCACGTTTGCCGTGAGCGTAAATCTAAAACTCTCTATTAACTAGAATTCCTCTCCGAGAGAGCATTTGTATTTAAGCTTTCATCAAAAACCCACAAAGTTGCAAGCGTTTATTCTGAGCTCAGTCCAAAGTCCATTTTSTCCTCCGGATCTCCGGCCTAAATCCTCCTATAGCCCTGGGGCTAGAAATAATACTAGATAACTGTACTTTCAGAAATGCCCAGGGGCGTTTTCCCAAGCATTGCCTTTGGTCCTAGTGATGCTGGGGTAAGGAATTGAGATCATTTGTTCCTGAAATCTTCTTATGTCTTTTGTCCGTTTATTCAAAACATCTTTCCGTGATGAAAAAGTAAAAAGATACCGATGGTCATAAGACTCTGAAACAGCGTAATCCTTGGAATTTGGGGTAGCGACAGTTAGATACCGGAAATTACTGTGTAAAGTCAATTTCATTTGTAAGATAGATGTTGAAGCCAACAAAGTCTTAACACGATTATTTGACCATTTTAGGGATTTATAGGTCAAAAATTGCTATCTGCAAGGACCCGAGGGGTGGGGTTACCCGTTGCCACGGCCTCTGGGAGTGAAATCTTAGGCCTGGATTTAGTACTCAAATATCTCTAATAGTCAAAATACCTACTGTCTGTTTCAAGGCATGTTACACATCGTAACCAGGAATTATCATATCGACTTTCGGCTTCCAACGTGATCTTAAACTTTGGAACTAATCGACTAATGAGCAAAATTTGAACCCGTAGTTCATTAATTCCAAAGGCTTCATTTTGGAAGCTGGAAGCTTCTATACTTAAAGTGATAAAAGAAATATATGTAGCAATGTTTGATGTTGAGTGTATGACGTCACAGACTCCAAAAAATAATCGTAAAAATATCATACTTTCGTACTGAATATCGAGAAAACACTTCATACAGTGATTATTGGACCTTTAAAGAGTATTCTTAGGAAGTTTCAGCTGAATCCAAGTTTGAGCGATTTTCGTCGTAGTAGCACTTTAAAAACATCTTCAGCAGAGAACATATATGCAAGAATAGTCTCTACGGACACACTGGTGTCGAGCATAAAGAGAAGGGAGAGAGGGTGCTTAATGGTACCCACCACCATTATTTTTCAATATATGTTCAATACGCTTCTGTGCTAATGCAAATTTACATTATCGAAGTAATGTGTTCAGCCTGTGCTACTTTCATACTTTGAGTTCCTAATGGAATTGTTTAATTCTGGGGTTAAAAAAACAATATGCCGTCTTTTCAAAACAGAATCCATAGTTTTGTCCCCCACAAAAATTCCTCTCGGGACTCAATGCCAGGGTTTTATATAACCTTATTAGATGAATGGATACAACATCGTGATGTTATTTATATCTTGAACACCATTCTCAAGACAATTCGCTCTCTTTGCAGTGGTTTTGCGGTTCGACCTGTTGTACCAAAATCGGCATAATTTATTTTACAGAACAATTTTTCTTGGCACAGCACGTAAATCAACGCCCCGATTTGGAAGATATATTGTTACTTGGCATCTGTGGTTCCTAATATTACTGATGTTAATTGGATATATTGCCGGGTATTTAGGTTGTTTAATTAGTGTAATATGTAAGAAATGGTAGGCTATGATTGACTTGTAATTGGATTAGGAAAGATGGTGGCACACAGACAAGAACGAGTGGATTGGTTTGGATGTGGTTAGGGACTGATAGAGAGGGAGAGAGGGGAGGGACGAGGGGAGAGGARGATGTAGTACCGACTGAAGGATGGAGGGCGGAGGAAAAAAAACGATAGAGTGAGGGAGTGAGGGAGRTTCGGTGGAAGTGAAAAATGGAATTCATAGAATTCATACAATTCGGAAGAGGAAGGTAAAGAGGGAAGATGAGATAAAGACAAGATGCAGCCTAAGAACAAAGAGAAGTAAAATCCCTTTCTCTTCCTAATTCTAAAACTAATTTATTTTCTGTTTCATTTGCAGATGTATATAATGATTCAGGTAGATTTTATCAAATTGACATGAAGATACCCTGGAAGCGACATCCCATCAGTAACCAGGACAACAACTCACTTGGTGCTGCTATTCGAGGAGACGAAAATAATCTATGGAAGAATGGAATAATCCCTTATAAACTTGCTTACAGTATTAGTAAGTGGTCTTTTTGTCTGTCTTCTCAACTCATCCATCCATCCTTATCCATCCCTCCATCCCTCCATCCTTCCATCCCTCCATCCCTCCATCCCTCCCTCCCTCCATCCCTCCAACCACTCACCCATCTGTCCATTTATACTTGCTTACAGTATTAGTAAGTGGTCTTTTTGTCT